GTTACAAACCTCTCCCATAGGAGTAGCAACTATATGCAATTTGAAACATGTTGGTCAAACGGTTCTCGAGTTATCGTTGACCGTAGCCAAATGTTGACGGACAGACGGACGGACGTACGACGCACGACACCCAATGGCAATAGCTCATCTTGACGATGTCAAGGCGAGCTAAAAACAGAGAACATACACTGCGAGATCGCGGCCGGTTAATAGAGATTTCCGGATAACGGATGGCCGGATAAAGGAGGTCGGACTGTACAATGTACCTTATAAAGCCACAACAATTAACTACGATTTCACGAGTATTCTTTGTCTTACGTTGTTTAATCGTGACCTGTAATGTTATCCATATTGAGTAAGAGAAGCATGGTTCAATAATAAAGCCACACAAAAGAGATTAGCATGTTATATGTTGAGTCACACTCGTATTTTTACTCCTCTATAACGCGATTTTGTATTTTACGTGACTGAATTTTTTGCACTCCTGTTAGAACAAGGTTCCACTGCACCTTTCCAACCATATAGATAGAACTATAATGCCCTCTCTCATACTTTTCCTATGTAATGCAATGCTGCAACATTTATAATAAACAGCCTTGCAGTGCTCATAAGCTTTACTTTTCAGTTATAGGTAAATTCATGTTAGTTTAGTTGTATGAAAGTGGCCAAACCAACCTGAAAGAAGTCCCCACTCGGGGAATACACTATTCTTACTATCACTTAGAACTAATTATTATTAACTAAGTAGAAAACCCAAAAGCATTACCAATTAAGTAGTCCCTCTCTTTACCAGCATAGTAACAAAAATCCATAAAGCTATAAACTATATGCCATCTAGACCAGACACTGCTGTGTATGGCTGTTTATATACTACTCACACACACGGAATAATTGTACCCCAAATGTCCTCTGTCCTAATAAAGCTTAATTGTGTGCATGTGCTGAGTTGTATTTTACCTACCTTTACTGTCAGTTTACATTCCTGCTCACGGCTAGGAACCACCGCCAGGGTGTGAATATAGAAATCCGCAGGGTTGAAGTTTTGAGGACAACGGTAGTTCAGACTGATGAGGAAAGATTCAGAACTATTACAACCATTGATTTGACAATAGATAGGCTGCCCACAAGATCATTCTGAAATATCCTGTTCTCTTATCGAAAAGTGCAGACACCTGTATTATTTAATGGGGGAAATTGATACTCTGCTAAGCAATATAGTAAAATATACATTTTGGTGTCATTGTATAAAAAGACCTGATATGTGTATCTTCTTCCATTGTGAGGGTTTACACCATCAGCAAGATAACATGTGTAATAAAAATAAATAATAAAATCCAAGGGAACATGGCATACAAGTGTATATATTTAACAACATACATGGGTTTATGATATGACAATTAACGAATGTCAATTTAGTACCTTCCAAAGAAAGAGTGTACTTGTTGTTTTGGTCCCAGGTAGGCTGTTCTTCCCTCTGCCATCAAAAGCACTCTACATGAGAAAACCCAAACTGCTTATATAGACATGCACCGTTTTGTCAAGAACAATACAAATACTCATTCAACTAATCATCGATAAATTGGAATATATATATATATATATATATATATATATATATATATATATACTATCATTATAATATATACTGAAAACCATATCACACGTTTATTTGGTCATAATCCAAGATTAATTACTTCCATTTTTAGTGGTTATAACATATTCATACAGTGAATATTGTAATTATTAAGATCTTCTTATTCAGTAGTAATTTTTCTACTGATATGCTGGTTATATATAATGGGGGGAGGGGGGTAATTAATACCCCACTACCTCCTATTTTACATTTGTTCAAGTATAATAGTCACTGCTGATCTAAGCAATGTTATATAAATAACATTCATACATAGAGCATACCTGTCAAACATGGCGTACACTTCTGATGATGGCTGGTGGATGGTGCAGAGAATGGTCTTACCACGATTGGCCAAACTCTTCAGTACAGTCACCACGTTCTGCGCCATGAATGAATCGAGTCCAGATGTTGGTTCATCACAAAACATTAACTTCGGGTTTGTAAGCACCTGTAACAGTAATAAAAGTAGCGACCCACAAATAAAATATTACATCAGCAGCACCTGAACAGTACTCAGACAACACTAAAGTCTTCCTAAATGATTCTGTTGAATACAATATTTCACTGGCTTATTAGACTGCATTACCACTACAGTGGAAGACTGGATTACACATGTAGCTACTCATGTAGACACTGAATTGCTAACGTGAATTCATTTCAAACGATGGTGAAATGGTTTTTATCTCCAAAGATTATTGTGAATCATTGACACCTCAGAGGCAAATGCCAGCCTTTTCTTTTCACCTCCAGAGATACCCTTCAGACGTCCTGGAACACCTATTAGTGTGTTCTCACACTTCTTTAAGCCCAGCTGAGGAATAACAGAAAAAACAGGATGTATAAAGATAGAAATACAGTGCTATATCAAATAAACGAATATTCAAAATTATAATATCACCGGATTTAACATAATACTGCTTAACGATCAATGCTCATACCTCTGTTAAAGATTCATCTACTCTCTGCATGCGTTGTTTGTAAGTGAACTCCTTGTCCATCCTAAGCATGGCCTGCAACAAAAAACATTTTACCATCTATTCTATAAGCATGAATAAATAACTATATAGAAGTTAGATAGATACTCCCTGCCATTATACACGATAAAGACATATTGTCTATTATAGACTTGAATTATAGAGATGAACCACCAAATAACAGATGAATATCGTCTCAAGCATGTTTTGAACTCTTGGCCACCAGAGCTCACCTGGAAGCGAAGATGCTCTCCAACCTTTAATGTGCCAATAAATACGTCATTCTGCTGGACATATGCTGATAGTGACCGGATGCCAGGCCCGGCAGCTTGTCCGTTTACCTTTATATTGCCATCTATTGTCAACTTATCAATGTTCCTATATGTTAAGCAGTTTAGAAGAGTGCTTTTGCCTGCTCCACTGCAGAAAAATTAAGAAGTAACTTCAGTGAAACTTTACCTGCAGTAGTCACATTGTACACAACTCAACTGAGTTTTGTTCTTATATTCAAATGTATTTTATTAAAGACATTGGTTTTGTCATATCATTTTAAGTGGGTTAAAGTAATAAGCATTAGGCATAATATAATAGTAATAGGCATTCGGCAAATGTATGCTAAATTATGTTGGCAATTATCTCATATTATATTTAAATAGTATCAAAAGCACAACATGCACTACCACCCAACCATTTACATTAAACATGAAAATAATCACAGTTGGTCTAAGTTTCGTATAAAATCACATTACAGATGCCAGACAGATGCCTGACATAACTCAATGTAGTTTAGATACACAGGAACTACGTTACGCGCACACGCTCTTTACAACACCTATATATTATATTTTGTTTGTACTGCCCATACATAAACAACCCTGTCCCCATTAACACAAAGAGATATACAGTATATAACGTACTGTACGTATTTCCCAAACAGTTCATGAGCAGTGCGACCATTGTACCTTGAAACTGCAATGTCACCTTATGGGCCTTTCATGTTATGCACATGTACAATGATCTGTGTTTACTTGTTGCTTAGGTTGATTCCCATGCTAGGTATGTCTAAACTTATCATATATACGGAGGTGTTATAGCAAGGACTATGGAAAAAGTTCGACCTACCTTGCCCCCATAATAGCAAGCAGTGTCCCTGCCTTTGCATAACCAGTAACTGAAATAAAATGCAAGTGACTATAGCTGCCTGGTAAGAACCTAAAAATACAGACCTGAAATATCACATGGATTTACATAAATCATTTTACAATATACATAAAATACTTATTAAAGTAGAAGATTACATGGCAAGTCAGAAAATTAACAAAACACATTACATCCATATTTGTTGTAGCAATCTTTTATATTAGGAAAGTGAGAACGAAAGGAAAGACAATCTAAAAAATTGTGATTTAGCTAAAATCATATAAATGACATGCAATAGGGCAAAATTAACTTGTAAAGGTTTAGGAGACAAATGGATCAGCTAATAAAACACATGCATTGCAGAAAAGACATGCAAATAAAGGCATTGCAATAAATTTGCTTAACAACATTTTGTCAATAATAGCCGCGTTCACATGGAGCAATTTGACCTGGGTCGAAAACGACCCGGGTCAAATGCGTCCCGAGCTAAGCGTTCACACGGACGTTTTCTCGGTACAAAAACGACCCATATGTCATTTCGACCCGGGTCATTTTCGTACCCATTACATAGTGGGTACGAAAACGACCCGGGTTGAAATCGACCCGAGCGCTGGTTAATTTTTTCGGTGTGAACGCACACCATCACACGACCCGGGACAGAATTAGTACGGCGGTAGATATGTCGCCAGTGTCGAGAGCCAGAGTTTACATGAGTTGTTGCTGTGCACTGATTGTTTTATTCGCATTGTTCGCTTGGACGCATTATTTTTTTAGCTCGCAGCTCGCAGCTCGCATAGCATAGAGGCATGTCCTAGAACTGATCGTTCAAACGTCGTGTGAATGCTCTCTTCAAAATCAACCCGTGTCGTTTTTGATCCGGGTCAGTCTCGGATCGTTTTCGACCCGAGTTTTCGGCTCCGTGTGAACGCGGCTAATGTCTCGTTTTATATGGATATACAATATAAATACAAATGTTCAGCAGTATACCACTTTGATTGCTGTTACATTATTACCAAGCATTGGCAAGTACCACTGCTGGTTAATACATCTAGGTAACTGAATGGTCTTTCATAATTCACTTACCATTTTGTAGTATTTGTTTGGTCTTTCCATTAACACCATTTTTAGACTTTCTGAACAGGCTTTTACCCCCTGCTCTGGTAGTAACATAAACATTTAAATTCTCCCAGGTTAATGTTACCTGGAATTAAAAATCTTAACAATATAATTGTTACCCAAATTATTTAAATATCATGACTAATTACTCATGAATCTAAAACAAAAAATATATATATTTACCATCGACATTTTTTCCGAGGAACATATGCGAATACTTCCATAAAATATTTCCATGAACGTATGTAAACAGATATTGTGAAATGTTTATCATATACTGACACTTGAGGAGTGGTACAATTAGATTACATCTCAATCAAACAATCAAATAATATATGTAGGGCTTAGATGTATACATAACTGACACCAGGGGTGTAGCCAACTCGTTTTGCCTGGGGGGGGGGCAATTAAGCCACGTGCGGTTTGTATTCAGGGAAGATGACAAATGACCATTGGCAGTTCGTCATTGGCTATTTATGACACTGGTCTGTGGCAGCTGCCCCCACCACCCCAACTAGCAAAGGTCCTATATATATACTCATGAATGATGCATGGACATTTTTAAAGAGCACTCACATTTTCAATTTCATTGACGCTTATAATACGTGACACATCCTTGCCGTAAACATGCTCCTTCTCCACTGGAGGTGGCTGTTTGAAGATATCATTCTCGAGGCTACCCTCACGTTCTATCGCTTCATACTCTGCATCCGAGTCATCGTCCACCAAAAGTTCAGCAATTGCATGTTCAGATATGCCCAAACCTTCGTCTGCGTGCAAGAGAATAATACATCGCATGTCGTATCAGTAATAAATCATCAATAGTGTGTGTATATATATATATATATATGTGACATATAATATATCAGTATAATATACCAGTAGCAGTAATAATATATATCATAATCATAGGTATATTTGTAATTATTTACTCCTGATAATTAATTATAAGTAATTATATGAGTAATTAATATACGAGATCAAATATAGTCAACGACAATTTAACAACACATAACCAACCACATAACAATAAATTAATATTATTAATTAACTAATAGTGATAGTACGTACATACCCATATTCATATGACATATATATAAGAATCCGTATTACACTGAGAGCTACGAATTACTATAGAAATCTAAGAATGGTCCATACAGCTAGGTGACCGACCTGGTAGTGGCG